ATCTTATCTTATCTTATCTAACTTATCGGTAGTGGTATCTGGTCACGCAGTTTGATGTTTAAGGTTTGTCTGTAATGAAACTTCTGATGCCACCTTAATACAACTGAAGTGAATGGAATTTTGTTTGCGCTGCTCAAAGCGCTGACAGTTTAATTTGAAAATGTATGATTGTTTTTTATGTTTTGAGCACAACAGACAACTCCATTCAACAGACCCTCCTTGTTAACAGACACACAGCACTCACAACTGTGGAGACCGAACCTTTGATCCTTCCTGCTAGGGAATAATCTAACTGCTAAGACACACTCACGCTCCCTACTTTCAAATTCATCGTCCCAGACTTCAAAGAAAAGAGCTTGCGAAGGCAGGGAACAAAAATATACCACAGAAATATAATAAGCCAAAAACAGATTGGCTGAAATGGATATTTTGAGAGCAAGAAAGAAATAGTGATACATACACAAACAATACGTGTGTCTGTTTTGTCCCTACCTGATTTCCTGTGGGAACTGTGCATTGGTGACCAGGAAACTGGAGATGTGGTGGGAGTGGAGGAGGCGGATAAAGGTGTTGATTTCGGGGTACATTATTGGCTCACCCACCAAGGACAGGGCACAGTGCTTGACTGCCAAGCCCTCCTCATACCGGTCGGGCTTCACTCCAGGGACACCTGAAGAGAGAGAGGTTTTGAAGTTGACTCCACCTTTGACTTAACCATTGTCTCCTAACGATAAATGGAGGGCTTCACATGTGGAGACATAAATCAAAGCACTATAAAGTATAAAAAACTTTGGGAAATAACAGCTTGGGGTCAGACTTTGAAGTGAGGTCAAACTGAGTAATTACATATAACCAAATAGGCCCAAGAGAGACGTGTGGTGCTCATGAAAAATGAGGAGAAGAGAGGAGAAACAATAAAAGTTTGAGCTTTGAGAGTCGGGCCCAGAGCCCATCTCTCTTCCACTCCCTCTGTCTTTCTTTCCACTGGGTGGTCTTGGACTCTCCCAATGTTCAGTGGAGCAGAAGACTACAGGGTGCTGTAAAAATATACTCAGCATATGTATGAGATGACTATTAGAAAGTTAAATTGACTGGTGCTACTACTGTTGTTAAACTTTAACATAAAAAAAAAAAACAATGAATAAATTAGGGTTTTTTTCTAAGAGTTGACAAGACAACAAAACAGATTTTCTGACTCAATAAGATTGCTTTAAAAGTGAAGAATCAAGTCTCATTAGTTATAATTCACCAAAAGAAATTGTTATTGTCCGAATTCCTAATTGAATCACAATCAAGTTAACATAAATTAGATACATAAGACAAGCAAAATTAGATTCATGAACACAACTGCCTGGGACACGACATTAAAAAACAGCAAAGGAGATGATGCAAGTCTTTATTTGAATATAGAATTTGCAATTTGATCAAAGTCTGCTTTTGGGCCTTGGAGGGACGTGGGGAGGTAGGGGGTGTCAAGTTAAGCAGGGAATAAACAAATAGTAAAAGCTTAGAGGAAAAAGTTTCATACACTGCCATGGGGATTTAATGGGATATTGCTGTAGCTACAGTGGATGCCATTCAATTTAAGAAAACAAGTAGTGAATCTTAACTAAATAAAACTGGACTGTTGCCTTCATAGGCTTTATAAAACAGTCTATGAATTATTGATGAGTTTGCAACATTTTGAGCACGGTTGAACCATAGAAAATCAACTGTTACTGTGTTACTTTACAATGGCTTCAAAGGCATTAAACAACCAACTATCCCACAGAAGAAATCCCACTTAACTCCAGCTGAGGAGGATGGTGCATGTATGTTAAAACAAGTGTGTGAAACCTCATTAAATGTGTGTATATACACTACCGTTGAAGATAACATTAAATTTAACAGAAATACAGTCTAGACATTGTTAATGTTGTAAATTATGACTATTCTAGCTGGAAACGGCTGATTTTTAATGGAATATCTACATAGGTGTACAGAGGCCCATTTCCAGCAACCATCACTCCTGTGTTCTAATGGTACATTGTGTTAGCTAATCGTGTTAAAAGGCTAATTGATGATTACAAAACCCTTGTGCAATTATGTTAGCACAGCTGAAAACTGTTGTGCTGATTAGAGAAGCTATAAAACTGGCCTTC